AAAAAAAAAAAAAAAAAAAAATCCAGCTCTTGCCTTTAAATAAAGAAGAAAAATTTAAAAAAAAAAGTTTCATTTAGATAATGTTGGCTGCAAAATTCTCTACATACAATTATATTCCATGAGGGCACACGAGACCCCCTTTTTTATATCTGTTGTTTATAGAGCCATTAGAAAACTGTGAACTAAGACTGTCATGATATCAGACAGTCTTGATTTTTAATCTTGTGGGGGAAAAAAGCTGTCTACATCAAGATTTTCATCTCCTTTGAGGAGAAACTTTCCTGGTTAGCATTGTCTTAAGATCTCCTATGGGTTTACAATTGCAAGGGTTTGGATGGTCCCTTCTGAATTGTGAGACTATCAACCCAATGCTCAAATCTTGAAGTCTTGCTTCAGTGTAAATGGCAAGAAGACTCAGTTTGTGTTCTAGATTATAAAGTGTTTTACTGTCTTCAGTAAGCAGACTATTAAAGGCTTTCTTTACCTGGTGAAAACATGCTTTGCTGTAATGCATGAAAGCTTTCCTGCATTTAGTAATACTACACTTCAGAAGCAGATAATACATGAGCTGCTTTTTGTTTGTTTGTTTTCTTTTGTTTTTTTTTGAGACCGAGTCTCACTCTGTGGCCCAGGCTGGAGTGCAATGGCACTATCTTGGTTCATGGCAACCTCTGTCTCCTGGGTTCAAGCGATTCTCCCTGCCTCAGCCTCCCGAGTAGCTGGGATTACAGGCGCCCGCCACCACACTTGACTACTTTTTGTATTTGTGGTAGAGACAGGGTTTCACCATGTTGATCAGGTTGGTCTCAAATTCCTGACCCCAAGTGATCTCCTTGCTTTGGACTCCCAAAGTGCTAGGATTACAAGCGTGAGTCACCACACCTGACTCATATATCATTTTTAATTTGACAATGCTTCCCATCTAATTCAACATATCAAATACACTTATATATCATGTTTTTATCATACTTTTAGATGCTGAATTGGCCCTCTGTAGCATCCAAAAGTTAGGGGTCAAAAAAAAACTGTTTTTGAGACAGAATCTTCCTCTGTCTCCCAGGCTGCAGTGATGTGGTGAGATCTTGGCTCAAAGCAGCCTCTGCCTCCCAAGCTCAAGCGATTCTACTGCCTCAGCCTCCCAAGGAGCTGGGAGTACAGGCACCTACCACCACACCCAGCTGATTTTTCTATTTTTAGTAGAGACAGGGTTTTGCCATGTTTGCAAGGCTGGTCTTGAACTCCTGACCTCAGATGACCTGTCCACCTTGGGCTCCTAAAGTGTTGGGATTACAGGCGTGAGTCATAGCGCTTGACTGTGCTCTGCCTTTTTAAAAATTAAAATATAGGCCAGGTGGTGGCTTATGCCTATAATCCCAACACTTCTGGAGGCCAAGGTGGGCAGATGACCTGAGGTCGGGAGTTTGAGACCAGCTTGGCAAACATGGCAAAATTCCATATCTACTAAAAATAGAAAAGTCAGTTGGATGTGGTGGCATAGGCCTCTATTCTCAGCTACTTGAAAGGCTGAGACACCAGAATCTCTTGAACCCAGGAAGCTGAGTTTGCAGAGAGTTGAGATCACGCCACTG